GAAAAGTCACAAGGTTACATCATTTAGGGGTGCTAGTATGGATACAATTCTGATTGGCTCGCTTCTAGGGACTTCTAGAAATTACTTCTAAGGGAGTGGTTGCCCGCCACCATTTCTCATTGGCTGCCCTCAGGTGGGGGCATTTCTGCAGTCAGTTACCCTGGAAACCAGGGAGAGGACATTCCATAGTCTGGCAGTCATTACATCGTGACTATCTTGTGACTCTGTACTTTTACACTTCCTGGTTTCTGGAATCTGAACTGACTGGTTTCAGTAACTAATGGCCTATTCCCAAAAGGAGAACTCTTAGGCCTTAATTTTAGGGTGAAAGCATTTTGGCCTTATTTCTAAGATGGCTCATTTTGGTCTCACAACAGGTAGTGACCCAGACTTCGGGCATCTGCAGGGCCCTCAGTGGTAATAGAGGCTTTGGAATTCAACACAGACACCCACAGCTGTATCAAGGCCATGGACCAAATCATGGCCCTTGGCAGCAGCCCAGGCCGGGACATTACTATGGCCCTGGATGGTAAGCAGGCCTGCTATGTCAGCCCATTCCTCATCACCCTCGCCTCTTCAGATATGCCTCTCTCCCTAACACATGAACCCCCCTGTTGCAGTAGCGCCCATGCTACCACCAACAGTCCACCATGTCCCAGCGAGGGGCTGTGGATTAAAAAATAGAGACAAGAAACAGGGAGTACTTTGCCACAGCAAAATGCTGAATGCCGTTTATTATAGGAGAGAGGAAACCTTACATGCAGGCTTACAGCACAATGGAGGAACCCCGGAGGGCAGAAGTTCATTTACCAAATGTTCTACATTCTTGCATCTAAGCTTTTTACACCAAATGCAGGATACATGAACAAAGAACCTCCGGTGAGCTTTCAGTAAGAAGGAAATCAGCAGGGAATCAGCATAGGGAGGACATCTGGTCAGTTGGCAAGCAAGCAACAGTTTACTCAATATGGGGAGCCAGGGCCCTACACACCCCCTCTCCCTCTCCCTCTTCCTCTCCATCTCCCTCTTTCTCCTCCATTTCCCCACCCTGTACTTGTTCACCACAATGGTGCCAGACTGTCTTGTGGAGTATTTCTTTAGGCTCCAAATTTAAAGACCTAGGGTGGAGCTGTGGCTGTCATCCATGCACCAGCCAAGACTCATAATTCTTAACTACTTTAGATACTACCCTTATACTCACAGGTAAGTGTAGTTCTCACTCATCCTCAAAGAAACTTCTCTTTACAGCAAATGGAGATCATTATAGAAACTACAACTGGACACAATGCAGGTATCAATGGATCATGGAGAGCTCAGCCCCAACTGATACATCTACAACACTGCTCCAAGGAACATTAAAGAAGAGGGAGCAGAAAGATTGTTTAAGAGTCAAAGGACCAGGAAGTCTTCTATGAGAGTGCCTCCTAGAAATGGCTGGAGGATAGAGGACACCAGGAGAACACAGCCCACAGTATCAACTTAGCTGGGCACATAGGGACTCACAGAGACTAAAGTAACAATCATGGAGCCTATAAAGGTCTACACTATTTCCTCTGAATATATGTTGTAGTTGTTTAGCTTGGGTTTTTTTGTGGGACGCCTAACAGAGGGAGTGAGGGTGTCTCTAAATCCTTTGCCTGCTCTTGGGACCATTCTCCTCCTACTAGGCTGCCTTGTCCAGCCTTCAGCTGAGGATTTGTGCCTAAACTTACTGCTTCTTGCTGTGCCATGTTCAGCTGATATTCTGGGGAGGCCTCCTTCTTTTCTGGAGGGAAATGGAGGAGCAGTGGATCTGGGGGAGAGGTTAAGTGGAGGTAGGAAACTGGGTGGAGTGGAGGGAGGGGAGACTGTGGTCAGGATGTATTCTGTGAAAGAAGAGTAAATAAACAGAAAGAAAAAAATATATTTAAAAAATAAAATCCTTTTTGACTTGTTCTGCCATCACTTAAAGATAAACTCCAAACGCTTGTAAATGGCACAGGGTGGCAATCTGAAGACTGCCATGTTTCCCTCTGGGCACTTTCGAACTTAAGCTCTGTAGTCCTGTGGCTCCCAAGACCCTGCACCTGCCTCATTCCATGTTTGCTCACCTGTTGTCTAATTTCAGTCTCTCTTCTGTTATAGCTGTTCTCCCTCAACCACTTCATGACCCCATCGTGCATTGGTAAAGACGGAAGACCCTGTAGCTGGATTTCACAGGTTTAAACCCTGTTTTGTGGGAAAGGGTAATCAGGATACATTATATGACAAAAGAATCTGTTTACAATAAGAGGGGGAAATACACCATTAAAATTAATTTTAAAGTTAATATGCTAATAATTCAACTTTAGAAATGAGTATACACTGTTTTCCATGAATAGTAGATCCAAAAATAAAGAAGGCTAGCCCCTTAAAAATAAAAAAAAATAATAACCTACTTTGCCACTTACTAATATACTGGCTTTTCACTACTTCAGTGTTCTCATCTTTTGGTAATTAAATTCATATTAAATTATCATCCTAAGATTATTAGCTTAATAAATAATTCAATGCTTATAAAGAGAACACTGTCTGATCTATTCATTATAAGTACTCACTTGACTGTTAGTTATCAATTTAGAGTACTGGGGTCTCTGACTTCAGAAAATTATCCCTGAGCCTCTCTCCAGCCTTCTGCATGTTTCCACCGTAACAGGCCCATCGACCTTAGCACAACTGACACCATGTTAGAGGCACCATTCTAACCTTACAACCCACAACACAAGCTCCAACACCTGCCAAAGCAGGAGCAAAGACCTATCCATCAAAGATTCGGTCCCTAGTTCCAGGATCCAGGAGAGTGCCTAAATATACAAACCTTGCCTTTTTGGCTTTGGTAGTTCCTCTTCTTGATAACTGAAGTATGACAACATGTCTTACTTCCACAGAATGCATAAAAGAAAAGAAAAAAAAAACACTGTGAGGACTGGGGCTGCATTATTTGAGCAAGTTCTCCATGCAACTACTGGCTGATAATAAAGGATTTCTTTTTCATTTTGATGTCCATGTGTGTTCTTTGGTGGACTTACTTCACAACACCATATTCGCATTACATTATTCTAAAGTGGACCAGATAAATAGAGCTATATATTCTTATTATCTTTTAAAAAATTAGTTTTTATTAATTTATTCCTGACAATATCAAACATGTATATAATACATTCTGGTCACATTCATCCCTGTAGCTAGAGTTTTCCTGCCTGGCCCACAGTCAGGATGAATCTCTCTCATCCCGCCAGTCCCACAGCTGCTCAGACCCAACCAAGTAAACACAGAGTACTTACATTGCTTACAAACTGTATGGCCGTGGCAGGCTTCTTGCTAACTGTTCTTATATCTTAAATTAACCCATTTCTATAAATCTATACCTTGCCACATGGCTCGTGACTTGCCGGCATCTTCACATGCAGCTTGTCATGGTGGCGGCTGGCAGTGTCTCTAACTCAGCCTTCCACTTAGCAAAATTCTTCTCCTCCTTGTCCTGCCTATACTTCCTCCTGCCTGAGTACTGGCCAATCAGTGTTTTATTTACTAACCAATCAGAACAACACATTTGTCATACAGAACATCCCACAGCACATCCCTCCACACTCTAATCTTCCTCCCACTCTTAGACCCTTCCTTCCATCCTTCTACTCACTACTCTCCCACTTTCATGTCTTTTTTGTTGCTGGTATTGTTTCAGTTTTGTGACCCAGAGGTTTTGATCAGAACCCTCCAGACAGGCATGAGCATGAAGCTATCCATCAGTTCATGACTAACTCGCCAATGGTTATAGCACTGAAGATAATGACTTCCTTTCCTTCTTCAACTTTCAACCATCTTTAATCCTTTGGGGGAGGCAAGATTCCCTCATGGCTCACTCTTATCAATGACTGAAAGTTACCTGACTTGGTCTTGTGCAGTCCTTCCTCAGGCATTCAAGCTGTGAGTTTGTTTCATATCTATGTCATTTTATGCCCCCAGCCATGTTGCTCAGCTCTCAAATCCTTTTGCCTCCTCCTTGATTCTTTGAAGAGATGATATAGTTGTGCTATTTAAAGATGCTCACTCAACAGTCACTTATTCGCAACATCTTAACAGGCATGAATGTAACATGAATCTTAAAAGGTCTTATTAATACAACAAACCCAGAGCCAGGTATTGGGGTGAACACTGAAAGAACAGAGGAACAGAACAAGCCACATCCAGCCTCACCTCTCCAATTCCTCAGCTGATCTCGTTTCCTTAAACTGGAAGCCTGTGTCCTCATACTAATGGATCTCAGCTGAACTGCTGCTAAAAGCCTAAAAGCTTAACTAGGCTCTGTTCCTGGTCCTCATGCCTTATATATACCTTTCTGCTTTCTGCCATCACTTCCTGGGATTAAAGGCGTGTGTCACCATGCCTGACTGTTTTCAGTGTGGCTTTGAACTCACAGAGATCCAGATGGATCTTTGCCTCCTGAATGCTAGGATTAAAGGCGTGTGCTACCACTGCCTAAACCTATGTTTAATATAGTGGCTGTTCTGTTCTCTGACCTCCAGATAATTTTATTGGAGTGCACAATAAATATCTCAACCACACATGAGTCTCGCATTAACCTCCATTTACTGAAAAGAAAAGCTTCTTTGATTAAGGATAATGACAGCCCTAGTCTACCAGTGCAAACATAAAATATTTTTTATAGTTTTTCTTTTTTATTTATGAAGAAATTTTATTATTCTCTTTATATACAAATCACAGATCTCCCTTTTCCTTCCTCTCACCCCTCCATCCCCCACCCCCATTTTCTCCTACAAGAAGGTAAGGCTTCCCAGTGGGGAGTCAGCAAAGCCTGGTACATTCAGTAGAGGCAGGTCCAAGTCCCTCCTGTTGCTTCAAGGCTGTGCAAGGTGTCCCACCATAGGTAGTGGACTCCAAAAAGCCAGCTCATGCACCAGAGATAGATCCTGATCCTACTGCTAGGGGGCCCCTTAAGCATATCAAGCTACACTACTGTCTTGGCCAAGCTCCAGGAGTCCAGTCAAAGAGAGAGAAGAGGGATTCTATGAGCAAGGATCATCAAGATCATTACTGGGAAATCCACAGAGACAACGAAGCCAAACTAGTGGGAACTCATGCAATTTAGACCAACACCTGTGGGTCCTCCACGGAACTGGACTAGGCCCTCTTCATAAACATAAAATGTTGAAGAAGCTGTTTACCTAGCATAAAAATTGTAACAGACTCACTCCTAGTGTCTATGACCTCCTCTGGCATGGACCTTTGACCTTTGCTCAGGTCGTGTACTGCCTCTTTTACAATATACTTCATATTTAACCAGAAATAAGTTACCCCTTACCAGTTGTACCACTTTCACCAGGAAGTACCTCTTGCCTGGGAGGTGATATTGTAGAATGCAATGTGTAGAGCTAGGAAGGACCATTGTTGACTTTTCTTGGCCAATTTTCTGCTTAGCAATTTCTAGTACTCTGAAGCCTCGCAGCTAGGGAAGAAGCTTTCATACCTGTTCCAGAATAACTTAATGATCAACATGTTCAGTGTCTTACCACCCAGTTCTGATGGACAACCAATATTAATGACCATAAGGTGTATGCTTTGGGGGATTCTGGACAATAACTCCCAGTAAGGCTCCTGGAATGAACATTATCTACTTATGCCCAGAACTATATTTAATAAAACACTTCAGTAGTCTCCATAACAAAAGCTATAAAGATGATAGAAAAGTTTTAGGTTTTGTGTATTTACAGAGCATCATTTCATGTGATGTTTAGGAAATATTCCAAATGTGTGGCAATTGTAGCTGATGAATAGATCAAAGGAAGAACAGTGTTTGGTTCAACAATGGAAAATTTCTTTAAAAAATTCTAAAAGACAGAGATATTGTTTGCATATATAAAACAATTTTTATAATTCTCTCATTAACCAGAACTTTTAAACATTGAATCAATAGACAATAATTTTCTGTTAGGAAACCAATACATGGCATATTCACAAAGGCTCTGGAAATATAAAAAAAAGACAAATACAATTATTGTATCAACCAGAGATCACTATTATTGATGATATAATATATCTTCAATTCAAATGTATGTTTTATAAATTATTAGCTAATATTAATCTTTCTACATTATTCAAACCTCTTCAAAAACATTTTATAAACCATGTGACAAATTCATAAGTGTTTTTCTTAAAGGTAATTTATTATACATTATTAAGACTGATCAATTTTGTTAAAGTGTAAGCAGTACCTCAATGTAAGTCTTAATTATAAATCTTGTTTCCGACTAGATAATTACCTCTCTGAATATGCTAACTGAATAACTGAATTTCCATTTCAAAAGTTGTAGGCATTATTACATCTGAATCATATTCATAAATGTATTTCTAAATGCTGTATTCTAACATTTATTGGAACTGTACAAACACTGGATATCATACTCATTTAAATATTTAAAAT